TGGGGTTACGTATTCAATCGCATGTACCTTCACGTGTTCTACGTGCGGTGCGGTAGGCCGGTCTAACGGTCAATGCATTAATGCTTCAGAGATATCGGGCTGGTAATGTATTCTCGAGACAAGCAGCAGACTTGCCTGGAAAGTCACCATTAATTCTTGCAGCTCGGCTAGTCTATGAGGCAGGTTGCCATAAGCTGGGAGACCAGTCAGATCGGCCCGACCGAGGTGGAGGTCAGCCTGGGCGAGGTGCTTTAGGCTAACTCACCAAGCTAGTTCGCTTACTCAGCGCCGATGTGTCGCTCAAAGGCCACATGTCGTGATGTGATTTGGATGACCAAATTACCCCTCATCAATATCGATCTCAATTCCAATGAAGAGAACGGAAGTATAGATCTCAGTTCCGGCAGGTTCTAGATGAGAACGAGAGGGAGAGGGAGAGATCTACAGAGATGTTGACCTCAGTTCCGATGAAGAGAATGAGTGTAGATCTCAGTTCTGATGGGTTCCAGAGAAGAGAGTGAGAGGGAGAAGGAGACATCTGAGAGATCTACAGTTCCGATGGATCTGGAGGAGAGAACGAGAAGGAGAGGAAGAGATTTGAGAGACCTACAGATCTGACGGTTCCAGACAAGAGAACGAGAGGGAGAGATCTGAGAAATCTACAATTTAAGTGGTTCGAATAGTTTTGGAGAAGAGAACGAGAGGGAGAGGGAAAGGGGGAGGGAGAGAAAGAGATAGAGAGAGAGAGAGATCTACATATCCGATAGTTCCAATGTTTCTAGAGAGGAGAACGAGAGAGAGAGAGAGAGACTTTTTGAAAATTTAAAGAAAGTTGAGGGTAAAATGGTCTTTCTCATATTTTGTTGATGCACGTTAATGACAAAAAAGCATTAGTAAATCGTCAAAAACAGTAAGGGTAGTGTTAGACAATAGTCAAACAGTAGGGGTATTGTTAGTCAATTAACTAAACCATAAGGGTATTTTAAGAAATTTGCCTTTTTTTATAGAAAACCAGATAAATACAAGAAGAAACCAAAAACAAGAAAAAAAAAGAAAACAAACTACAAAACAGAGTCCTCTCATGGAGAAGATAGCAGACAAGAAGGGGGCAAGACAAACTGCCCAACCCAATGCTCCTTTGGCTGCCAAGAGATGAGTGGCCTTGTTGGCTTCTCTTAGAAAGAATCTAAATGAGAAAACACCTGAAATCAGATTGTAAATATCTATTAACTAATTCTACACTTTAGAATTGATATCAAAAGGTGTAGGCCATGTTTGGTTCATTGCTCTGTGCCTCATTCTCTTAATTATTGCTCATTCTAGGCAAGAATGGGCAAGAATGAATAGCATTAGAGTGTTTAGTTACAAAATTTTTCCCAATGGCCACATTCTTTTTAAAATGAAAAATCAGCCCCATGGCACAAAAATTGACTAGCATTAGGGGTGAGCAAAAAAAACCGAAAAACCGAACCGACTGAAACCGAATCAAAAAATCGATTAGCCGAACTGATACAACTTCTTGCCCATTGGTAGTATTGCAACAAGGATCAACCCATAAAATAAATCTACCCAATCAATTATTTTCTACCAAATTGCACATAAAAAGAGCATGACTAATCTTATATGGAAATTGAAGATTATAACTTCAGGGCTTATCAAAATAATTAAAGAAATCTCTCAATAACAAAATTAAACATTGAAATCTCTCAAGCAATCAAAGTAAAATAACAAGTAAAACTCATCGATCAAGATCCTCCCTAGCCTTGTTGAAGCTTTAGCCGTGCTTGGACGTCATTCTCCCCTCTTCTCATCTACGAAAGACTGAGAAAATAACGCCAAATAACCTCTGAAAGCCATCCCCCTTTTAGGTTAGATTTTTCCTTTTTATTGTACTGCAAGGCTTCCTCAATCTGCTCAGCCCGGATTCAAGTCTTATCCCGCAATTTTCGCCTACATAGAGATTGATTTAGAGAAAACTGTCAACAGATGAATTGTAGCACTATCTCTTAGCTGTCCATAGACTCAAGAATCACCGAATTTAGAGATCTGTAAAGAAAGATACACCAAAAATTCTAGACTCTGTTCAAAGTAAAACGGGAAACGAATTAGCACTCATACTTGGGTCATGGAAGTTGGGTTAGGGTTTCTTGGACCTATGTTTGGGCTTTCCTCCATTCAATTTTTAATTATTTCATCATAAAAATTGCACAAATAATAAAATTGACATTTATAATATTATTATGGAAAAGTATTACTTTTAAACTCTTTATTTTACAAATGTCAATTGTTGAGTACACTTTAGATATACACTTTCATGCTTATCTCGGAAAAGCACTTTTACAAAAGTATTTTTACGAAAACACTTTTATAAAAATACTTTTACAAAAACACTTTGATAAAACTACTTTTACATTAAAGCACTTTATGAAAGTACTTTTACAAAACATCTATGCCAATTGGTAAACATTGACTTTTGGAGACCTAGGTTGGCAATTTATGAATACCGAAACAATTTTTTTTTAAGAATGAAATAAGTAACATTGGACACTTATTAGTCTGAAAAGAATTCATTTTTAGGAAAAAAGTGTTGGTTCATAACAATATTTTTTCATTCCTCCTATTTTTATCCACTATTTTCCATTTTAGAATTTCATCTTGGTAAGAATGAGAAAAAATGAGAATTGAACCAAACATGGCCTTAGCTTCCAGGACTTTAATAATAGTCTGATTGGTTCACCACGCAGCACGCCCATAGCACATCCCACTCGTGCATTAGGAACATTTTAGATACTTATTCTCAATGTGTGTGTGTGTATTTACAATAAATAATGTATAATTATGTTTTAGATATGTTATATGTATTTTTTAATTCAATTTTAATTCTTTATTTATAAAAATATTAAAAATTGTAATTTGAGACCAAAAAGGAATTTTTTTTCGTAAGAATAGCGGGATAAGTACCTATAATCCCTTGGGATGCATAAATCTCAAAAAATTACACAAAAAAAAAATCACCTCAATTGAACATTGAATTACAAAGTTATGGCCCTCAATGCATGCATTGAATACGCAACCGCGAGCCAAGGACCAATTCGAACGAATCATCCACAAAATCAACTAAATTTAATGGTCCTTGATCAAGTGAATGATTACCTGACAGGCCTTGGCAACCTAGCACTCATATATATGAATAAGATGCACTCACGATTGGTCACATAACACATTATACACATTTGTGTTTGCAGCGCTATCTGAACTCGGAATTAACATAGTGAATTGTTGTTGGACTAGTTTTGTAGGGATCGAAATTTTAGAAGAGGCTTATGGAGACAAAAAAAAAAGAAGAGATTATAAAGCTTGAAATGTTTATTCTGTGCCTGTGGGTCCATTTAATTTCTGACAAACTTTCAACTCTCAATGTCTCAAACTGAGAAGGCCCGTGCAAGTGAAAAATTTGTTTTTTTTTTTTCAACATATGAGCTCCGAATTCGATCTTTGATCATACAGAAAGAGAAATTGTTTTTTTTTTCGATGAAGAGGTCCTTCGTTAAGCTACCAAACGTCCAAAACACATAAAACAAAAAGTAAAGAGTAAAGACAGTGTAATACACTAATACTAACCAGGATTCGCTCTATTGATACAGCAGCCGGATCTGCAGCTAGCTTCTGCTGCTCCACTCAGCGAGGACCATACCATACTCAAAACAAGAAATTACGCCACTCAGACTGGGTGAGCGCCTGAGATGGCAGTCCGGTGTGCATGATTTTGTCTCCTGCCGGTGTCCAGATCTTTTTAAAATTCCATTATTATAATCTTAAAATCGGATTCAGTCCTCACAACCACTTGCAATCGTTTATATTGTGAATATTTCTATACTTAATTTTTTATTCATAGGGATATTCCCAGAGAACAGCTGCAAATGACCGAGTACGGTGCGAGCACCATTTTCTTTCAGAGGACTGAATCCAAACAGCACCATTTTCTTTCTGAGGACTGAATCCAAACAGCACCATTTTCGCGGATTCAGTCTTTGGTTGTCAGAGATTATAGAGATTTAAAAAAAAAAAAAAAAGAAACTTGCCAAACGGCACCGAGGTATAAGAAGTAGGAGTGAAGACGTCTTCTCTGAGCTTAGAATAACGGAACTCCAGCAGATCCGGATTCACAGAAGACGTCTTCAACATGTTCAAATTCAATGACACTAAATTCAACCCCAATAGTTTTGGCCGCCTCATTCCCAACAGACTATCGGTCCAATCAGTGTGATAACATTGATTTCGAGAGGAGGCTACCAATAAGAGGTTTACCTTTGCTCAAGGCTACTCCCAACTAGGACAAAACTCTTGAACAGTTACGATGATAAATAAGAGAGCTACCTCCCATAAATCACAAAGACATCAAACTTAACAAATCTGAAGATCCTTGTTGAATCATTCTTATCCTACACAAACAGTCAAACTGTCATCGTGCATGGTAGCAACCCCCCCCCCCCTCCCAAACCAGTTGCCTGTAGGACAATCAGCTTCGTTAAGAGGGATTAATGTGCTCAAAGAGGATAATGTTGTTTAACTCTGCTTCTTTTAGTTTTGATTGTCCCGATCGACTGGATCCCTCCTCATCCCTATCCTTGGCAGAGAGGACAGGAACTTCTATTAGTCAGTTGTTTTTAGCTTTTGTCTGTGCTCCTTTCTCCGTTTCTCTGCTTTGTTTTCCGGTTGCTAGTGAAATGACTTTTTTTGCCCCCAAAGGATAGAATTTCTTCATTTTAGCCTAGATCTTTATATTCAATATATAACAAGGCCATGGACTGTTGAAGCAAAACTAAGAGGATGTTCTCCAATGCCATCGAATTGCTTCCTACCGTGAGTTTCAAAACTGTCGATCTGGTCTGAAAATAAAAACATGGGAAACATGTTATTTGTTTTAAAGAAAAACAGCATGTTTTTGTCTAGCGATTTGATATACCAACTTACTTTTGCTTCTCAGATCAAAAACACACTTAAAGAAACGTTGTGTTTCATCATTCTGCTCGGACGTAGCAATTTTAAGCATAAAGAAAAACAAASATTATAATAAATGGCTAATTTAAAAGCCACTAATATGGCAATTACACTAGACAAAGTTCATGATGATCACTGTAAGACTGTGAGTAATATGAGGGTAACAAGATCCTTTGCCTCTTGCTTGAACGGCCATTCATGGAGCCCCCTGACGCTGAAGCAATTCTATTCAAAACTACATTGAGAGACTGTTTGAGAGAGTTTAAGCACACACCCTCTTCGCAATCTTTAGTGCAAAGCAGCAAAACGCTTATAACCCTGCCACCCAGAGTAGCCATTTCTGCTCTTACTGTTGTTAGCCTCAAACCATTGAGCGCTTGGTTGAGATCGGTGAACAGTTCCGGCCGGTCGTCGCAACAAAGTGAAGCCTTGATGAAGTGGTTGTCTTTGCTGTTAGTTGTGGTGGTGCTGCTGGTGTTGGTAGTGGATTCTGCACTTTGATCGCAATCAACGATGACTTCATCAACGTCGGTCGGAACTGTGAACAGCTGGCTGACCTCCACCGCTTTTCTCTTTAGATCCTTGACATGATCAATTACGCTGCCCAACAAAGCAGCCTTATCCATCTGCACCAGAGAGGAAAAGAAGCATTATTGACTTGTATCTGGGTTCACGTTTCCACAGGGAGAAAAAGCAACCTCCCAGTTTGTGCTCGGAGTGGGTGGCCAGACAAACCACCACAGTCGTAAAACATCAGAAATATTGTTTAGGGTCTTCTAATTAATAGTCAGGATCAGTGTTTGTTAGTTATGTTGATGGGGATGTAACAGGAATAAGCGAGTAAAGTTTTTGTTTGACTGAACGAGTTAACACGAATAACTCAGTTAAAAAAGCCAAAAGAAAAAACAAACAATACGCCGAGAAAAGAAGCTAACTTTTTATTCACTTTTTCAGACGATCCGAGAGGCTCAGCAAATCAGCACTTTCTTTCCGTTAGGGATCGGGAGAATTTATGGAGAAGGACTACAGTACCAGCAAAGCCATACCCCTTAAAGAATTGACAGAAAGTTCCCTGAGTTCACGTATTCAAAGCATGACACCGGAGTCGCCAAATTTGGAATTCTAGACAGGGAGAAATTGTTACTATTTACCTTGTCAGAACGGGGAATCAATTTCCTGAGAGTGGTAAGATGAGAATTGATCCTCTCCCGACGGCGCTTCTCGGCCTGGCTGTGGCTCTTAGAAGCAGCGGTAGCTCTATCTTCTGCCATACCCTCAACAAACAAAGAAGATGGAGGAAACCCATGAGCAGGGAAGGAGGTAAAGGCCTGAGAAGGCAGCAGCGGAGGAGGAGGCGGCAGCCATGGAAGGAGAAAGGGTCCTCCATTAAGTGCATGATAGCGAAGCAAATGCGCCTCCTCAGGCCAACCAGGATAAAGGCATCTCTCCATAAACTTAAAAGCTAAAAACCTAAAACCCTAATCCAAACTTAAAAAAACTCCTTACTTTCTTCTGCATTTCTAGTCTTATCCGCTGCTTCCTGTTCCTGTACCAGGCTTAACATAACAACACTAGGGGGGGAGTAGGTTGAAGTAGGGAGGGAGTAGGGATTCCCATTCCATCTCCATCGTAGACCCATAATTACGGTGCTTAATTTTTTTTTAATTTATTTGATGTCGACGGTGATGATAAGGTCTTAGGAAATATCAAAGATTACAATTAAGGGACTATCTTGTTTGGAAGTTTCTTCCTGTTTACTGCTTCAGTGTTTGAAAATGAAATATAATTTCCTCATCTTTTATGCATCCGAGATTTGCCTTCTGGTTCTTGGTATAAACCGTCCACGGCCTTCCGTTTGGTTAGTGGTTTACTGTTATGGAACACCAAGACGAAAAGCATAAGCTATATCTTATCATGTTACAAATCTCAATGTTTTATTTCTTAACTACTTTATTCAATGAATACGTGTATCGTAGTAATTGAGTAACATTTTGTTTGCTTCTAGGACTCTGTTGTTTAACGCTACGAAGGGATCGGAATTTGTACAGCGAGTGCAAATTAACTGACTGCAAATTCTGGTTAATTTGCTCTTGCTTTAAGTTTGATTTTGTTATGCTTTTTTGTGAGGGGTAAAATGATATGGCCCTCATTTTATATGAGCAGATGAAAGCGGGAGTGAGGTTGTTTGTTGGAAGTATAGAGATGTTGCCCCCTCTTTATGTGATAGGAATTAGGAAATCAAGATAAGAGGTGTATATATGTTGAATTTTGCATCATTTTTTGGATACAAAATTGTACTGCATGCCAATGAATGTATATGATACTGCAAAATGCCAATGAATTTTGCATTAGGAATAGTGAAAGTAATGGTTACAAACAAATATGTGCAAATCTGAACTGAGTGCAAAATTTGCATCTAGTTCAGATATACAATGCAGGCATACAAAGCCTAATAGCTGGATAAGGGGTGGCAATGGATACCCAAATTCTTTCCACGCATCCCATCGCCAATTGGTAATGTCTGAATTCACACAACTTTGACCCAGGCATGGTTGCTGCTTCGTCCATAAAAATGAAGAGCCAGTAGTATCCCCATAAACATTTAGGGAGTGTTTGCCAACGTGTATGGCTTTATTTTTTCAAAAACAAAAGCAATTATCACATCAGAAAAAATAATAATAACAATACCCAATATAATCTTTTTTTTTCCTTAAAAAAACAAAACCATATATACCGGCAAACACTCCCTTATTAATCATTTGATCCTAAAATTGCAAATTGATTGAAGGAAACCGAACAAATCCACTTGTTTGTTTTATTGTTGATTGTATAATTTGTATTCATGTAATACAATCTAGATTTTAGTGTCATTCAATAAGATCCACAAAACCATGAGTTCTAATTATTTTGGTGTGTGATGGATGAGCTGGCTAAAGATGCCGCATGGCTATCTTTGTGACCACCCCCTCTCGAACCATGTCGATGCCACGCGTAATGGAAGAGCACGACTAAGAAGGAGTGTCCCGCACGAACAAGGAAGAGGACTTCAACGATGAAGAGGAAACCTCCCAAAAACCTCGGTGGATGCCCTCATCTTTACAATCCCGGGAGCCCTATCCATCTATGACATGAATACCCAACTATAAATAGGTATTCCCCACTCAAGGTAAGGGACTTTTGGGAACCACATTCCTCAAATACCTCTTTACACTATCTCTTTGGCTCGGAGCAGAGCTATCTCAACATGCTCGGCCCGATCGCACCCTTCTCTACCCTACAGACTTGAGCATTGGAGTATCTACCTAGGAAACAACTCATCGGGCCTCTAACCTTTCTCCTGGTTGTAGATCTCGATGTGCGGCTCCATCCTTCCACCTCGGCCTCGTCCATTTGGCATAACTATCTGACTGTGTCCTCGGTTTGAAAGACCTCAAATCGAACAACATCAGAAACCACCTATATCACATATCTAGGCCCGAACCAGATAAAACATGTAACATAACTAATTCATATTAAAGGATCCGGGTCTTAAAGGATATAAATATACCCGAACTCACCCCATTTATATCCCTATGTGGAAATTGGTGGAATGATTTTGTCGTCTTATAGATCCAGTGAAAACGGTGTTAGGGTTACCATCCAGATTTTAAAATCATTAACCAGACAGCTATGTGAAATTTTAAAGTGTCCTTTATTAAAACATTTTATTTAGTCGACCTTCCATTAGATGTAAGTGGAAAATGACAATTATAATACTAACATTCATTTAAATAAATTTAATCAAAAGAAACTAAAAATAAAAATGTCATTTTTGCCCTTAGTAAAACAAGGACAACCATTAATTTATGTATTTGGTCAATTTTATTTTCTATACAAAAGTGTTAAGGATACTTTTGGAATAAACAACCATGCATCCATACCCTTGAACATTTTTCACTCAGTTTAGGGGTATTTTTGGAATAAAAAACCATGGGCCCATACCCTTGAACATTTTCTACTTAGTATATGTTTGGCACCAATGCTGCAGATGAGAAAACGGTGTTGCTAATGTGTGGGTTGGAAGCATTGTTTTCTGAGGAAACAATATCTTTTTTCTATTTGGAAGTGTTGCTGCCAGGTAGGACATTTCCTGGAGCAACAACAACACTTTATGTTTGGTACTAGTGCTCCATGACTATTTTCAGCACCGGTACCCATTGTAAGGAAGTCCATGTCACTGCCACATCATGTTCTCATTGGCAGCAACAAGTTGCAATCTGGGAAAACGCCAAATCCGACGTTTCTCCAAACCACACCTTCTTGATTTCCAAGGCATGGCTTGGAGCACCGTTTTTTCCAATGTGGCACTGATGTGTCACCATTTTCTAGAGCAACGGCATTGATGCCAAAACAGATGCTTAGTTTAGTTGATTATGTTACTATTTTCAGGCAAAACAAATAGTTCTTAATGAATTAAAAATGTCGATTTAAGTAAATAGGTTGAAAACAATAAGGGATGTTTTAGTAAAATATAAACTAATAGAATAGGTTTAAGTAAATCTGTAAAATTGTAGAGGTATTCCGATAAATAACCTAATTTTAAAATATTGAGGCATTGAATTGAAATACACTTGGAGGGTGTTTGGTTCTGTTTACATTTATTCAGTAAACATTTTGTACTTGTATGACTACAAAACTGAGAAATACATTTATTGAAGGTGTTTATGATACATAAACTTCATTAGGCACCATATCAACAAAATGCCAATAAACGCCAACCCATTTTAAAAAACTCCGGAATGAAGCTTAGAAACAGGAGTGGTGCACAAAAACTTAAGCTTGCTTTTACAAACTTGGATGCATACAAATACAATTAATGAGACATTTGATAACGGGGCGCCTATGTGGCGCATTCAATAAACATTTATTCGAAAAATGTAAATGAAAACAAACATATACTTGATAATTACAGTAAGGGCTAACCGAAAATTCTCACTGTCACACCCACACAATAGGGCTTTAGACTCAAGCACACACGTAAACCTAACATTCTAGGTCGCTTTATCCTTTTGTAAAACGTTCTAGGTCGCTTTTACAACTTGTATACAAAGGTTAAAAGCCAGATTGGACGTAGAATCCATGGAACCAAAGCATGAATATGTAATAATCCATGGAATAAAGGCATTAGCCACGAGTACGGATCTATCTCACCATGTATCGAATACAGTATTTATGTGTTATTTTTTATGGGAGATATTCTCGATTCACGGTGGGATGTGCGTGTAAAGTGAGTGTAAGGTGCGCTTTATGAGTAGCAGATCCCAATTCATTTAATTATCCTTCTTCCTTCCTACGATATCTGATCCAAAACAGTGACAATACAGAGTAGCCATTATGGATTTGATGGTTTAGATGATCCAATCATGTGACTGGTGACTGACCATCTCCTGCGCACCGGGCGCACAGCTTCCAACACAATTCAGTCAAATTGACAGCACCCAGAATACAGAGACAAGTTATAACACCGGCAGCAGTGTGTTTCTGTTTTCTTGTTATTAGCCTGAACAAGATTCCTTTTTAACGGTATCATCATGGCCAAAAGTGTCAATCAGTATAGCCTTTGGATTTCTGGTCTGTGAACCGCAGAGGCAGAAGTCAAACCACAAAACAAGATTATTGAGAAGATCTTCTTATAATTTTGGCAGTTAAAAAACGTATTGAGTTTTTGATATAAGATTTGGACAGTTCGAAGATTGTTTGGTAGATACACATCTTGTTGTGTATGTTTCGAATCTTTGTATGTAAGATTAAAATACAAAAGATGCAGTAAAAACTTCTCAAAATAAACTTATACACATTTTTTCGACCTTTCTTTTAGCGACTAAATCTTGCATGCGCCAAATAAAAATAAACTGATTTGCCACTTTTCCAACTTATAAACAGCTAAAAACCCACACAGAAAAACGCGCCAAATCTCTCGTACTCGTACCCACGCAACATCGCCACGCCGGTCTCTTGCGAAACACACAGCCCCAGTTCCGCTCAATGAGAGATGGAGAATCTAGGATGGAATAGGAAAGGGAATGGGATGAAGGCCTTGATCGTCCTTTATGCAGGCATCCAATAATTCAACTATATGTATATTTCATCTTTAATAATGAGTCCAATCAACCAAATTTTCTGCAAACCAACCCAACCTTGGGTTGGCCCACCACTCCTTCTAGTGGTCTGTGTTTGTTATTGTCCTGTTGTTCACATTCATTTTACTCTCTGTGGGCAGACACAGACTCCTGCACAACCAAACAAAAAACGGGCTTCAATAACAAACACTAATTAGCGCCCAACGTAGGTCCCACGCACTCATCATTGTAACACCAGAAGAAAGACTTTAACACTTGATGCGACCATTGATCAACCACTTGTTTTGGACTATTATCCTCCATCCACTTTATTAATATTTATTATATTATTTTGTATTTGGTGTTTATGGAACGCTTCCTTCTCTATTTCTTTGTATATCAAATATATATATGGTTTGGTTTCTTTAATTCAGTTCGGTTTTTGGTTTCTTATATATTTTATATTATTTATATATTGCATATGAATATTATATATATATATATATATATATATATATATTTTATTTATTATTTATAATATAATATTTTATATGTATTTTTAATTTTTATTATATTTATTTATAATATATTTTATAAAAAGCAAAAAATCAATAAACCAAGCTAATAATTAATCGAATTGATCAATTGGTAATTAATTGATCGGCTTTGATTTAACTTTAGTTACCAATTTTTCAAAAATCGATACTATTAATTCGATTTAAAATTTAGACTAACAATTTAATTAACCGAATCATGAACACCCCTGATCTTTGGACACCCTATCGACCTTATAAAAAGCCAGGCATATGTTAATCACATTTGGCATTCATTTGTATGGGACCTTGAATCTAACCAAGAGCCATCATGTCATGATGTCAAGCATCAGTTTCTCTTTGGCGAAATAGATTGAGGGGTTGGCCCGCTACTTTGTTAGAACGAATAATCCAAGAAAGAAGAAAGTGTCTGAACCTGGAAAATCTGATTAGCTTGAAGATTTGTCACGCTGGAAAGAGAAAAAGAAGCCGCAGATGTGGAACAATTTTTATGGCGTGATTTCCTATCAAGTGATTTTGTCGTCGTGGAAAAAGGGGCCGTAATATTTTGATGCTTATACTTCTTCGTTAAGTTTCTGAAATGCTGAATAGTATATTGTTAAATTTGAAATCTTTTCAGTGCTATTATTTTGCTTTGCAGCTTTTCTCTCTCAAACACACAATCACACAATCTACTGGTTTGAAACTCAGGATCTTCCACTTGGAAATCGGCATCGGAGGAGCCTAGTTGGTAGCCTGGGGCAGAGTTATTTCTGTATCGCACCTGGCTGGCGATTGCTATAATGAAAACCGGACTACAATCAGATGAATGAAGAAGAAAGGCAAGCAGCATGGAGGCTTTGGAACCTAAACCAGTACCATGTCAGAAAGAAAGATAAAGTGGTCTAAGGGCCTCTTCACAAACTTGGTTTCCCTTTTTTTTTTCTTTTTCTCTTTAATTGTAGCGCTTAGGCTTAGTTTATCTAAAATCCATAAAAGAGAACTTTTAGACAAAGCCCATGTTCAATCATTCAATGAATTAAGCGTTCAGTTCCTCCTAGAAGGCTTGAAATTCTCGTTCCAACATGGATCAATAATAAACACGGGGAACCCAAAACCCAAACAARGTACAACTACATGCAAACCAATTCAACCCATGAAATTACCTCTAAATGGACTAATGGCCTCCAGAAAAGTTTGTTTTTTCTCTGCATATACTAACTTTTTGTTAGAAATTGAAGATTTGGTAATTATCCAAATTTGTCATAGATGAAAAGGTCCAGGTGCTCATCTAAGACTAACTAAGAATTCTTCATCTACAATGTTCAGGTAAGTTATGCAACCTCTCCTTCATATTCTTATGAACTTTGCTTCATTAATTCTCTAACTACATACTACTTTTGCAATTTGTTCTGCAAATGGACCAAAGGTGTCATAGTCCGCATGATATCAAACAATTATGTTGATCGTTCAGTTCAGATTCTACAAAATCAACAGCAGATAATATTGATGTGAATGTGATATTAATATTTATTCAGCAGAAAGATATGACTATGAATAATTAGATCCCAATATTGTACCCTTGCCTCTGGATGCTGTAACAATTAGACCTGCAGAATCTCTTCAGAAATTGTCACGGCTCTTCTTCCTTAGGCCATAATTGTGACATCCTCTACTAATTACTTTTGAACCAATGAAACAAACAGTTTTGTAATGGTCTTTCGATGAAATGCTGCTGAATTTCTTTGGACTTCAACAACTCTTTATGTATATGTATTAGTGCAGGACGCACATTAGCCACATTGTTGCATTGCTATTTAGATGATCTCCCTGGACAATCCTTGATCTGATATGTACTTTTGCCAATTCTTTCTGAAACATCTCGATAAAAAGTGTAATGCTCAGACAAAATCATTCATTTGTATAAATGTTTCCAAGTGCTTGCCACAAAATAGTGGCTGCTACCACCACCTTTAGTTACTTTCCATGTGACTTGCATGAGAACCACCTCTGCAAATTCTGCCTTAGATGCGCTTTTGTCTCAGAACAGTCATTCTCTTTTATCACCTCAGGCTCAGTTTGGAAAGAGTACAAATGCAAATATGTACAGCGTAAATACATGCAAAAGAATACAAAATATAATGTTTTGCACTCTACATATTTGCATCTGTACTCCTTCCAAAATCAGCCTCAATTTCCATGTATTAGAAGAACTGACATTCCACAAACTGCAGAATATATCTCTAAGGAAGATACTTCATTGCATGATGCTCACTTTTATACAAAAGGAAAACCTGTATATAAAACAACAATATATTGTTGAGTTTTCATTTTTACAACTATACAATCAAAGGGTGCTATGCGGATCCAAAGCTCAACGATGATAAATGTCAGCGGCTTTTGATCTTGACCAAGCATATATCCAGGTCCCAGGAGTCGCAATGTCACAGACAGCCTTGGCCTCATAACATTGATTTCAACTGCAATGTGTAGGAAGCTCAGGTCTTCCTCAATTAATGATGCAAAAGGTACAGTTTTCAAATTGGAGAATCCAATCTTGCCACTGTTCTAATGATTCTGAATTGCAGTGTTTTTTGGGGTTTTAGTCCTTTTTGATGGGGTCAGGATGGAACTCTATGCCAGAGTAGCATGGATCTTTCTGTACAAGCTAAACATAGTAGACCATACCAACTTCCAGCAAGGAGGTATGAGGTACGTTCAGAACAACATCAGGTCCCCTACAATTCTTACTTAAAAAAGCATAAATGAAATTGATTGCAAATTTTTTGATAAAGGAAGATGATTTCTTTGCTTTTGCATAGGAGTGCCCAAGAACATAAGCCACCCCAGATTCCCTAGCTTTAAGGATACGCAAAGATTCGTCCTTGAGTTGGGAACTCTCTACAAGCCCAACCTGTGACTTCACTTCTTGGATGTCAGATAAAGACCGCACCATATTTTCTTCCTGATGTGGAAATGTGAACGTAGGACCCAGAACATCAAGGCCTTCAATATCTGACATACTGAACTCGGATGATGGTTTCATAGTTCGAGCTAGCATGCATTCCTCTTCCATTTCTACAAAGTGGACAATCCCAGATACCAATCTATTCTCAAAATCATAGTTTTCTTGTTGTAGATCCTTGTATCCGTACCTGACAATGCACCTGAACATGCTGTACTCTTTTGGGCCCACCCTCCCTATGAGAAACCGTTCCCCTTCATTAACATAGGGAACTTGAACAGATTTCACACACACAAAAACTAGTACCTGATGGAAAGCAGGCAGGTTTGTCACAAAGTGTCCAAAAATGGCTGGTACCCCAGTCACCAAATTAGTGTACACAAGTCCAATTCCTGGGACTCGGACCATGCCAAGGCTAGGGCCTAAAGCCACTAGTCTCTTCATTGAAACCCTGTTCTCCACATCAAATTGATGTTTCTTCAATGTGCCATAGTTCCAGATATACATGATGCCCATGAAGATCATAGACAGAACAAGTGGAATCCACCCACCTTCTGGGACCTTGATGAGGGATGCAGAGATGTATAGAACCTCAATTGATCCAAAGAATAATAGAAATGCAACTGCAGTAGTTACTCTTTGCTTCCAGACAATTATCATCACCATTGATGTCAAACAAGTTGTCACAAACAAAACAATTGTGACTGCAAGYCCTACAAAACCAGAGAAACAACCAATGCCTCAATGAATGAATAACAAGATTAAATTCTAAAAAACAAAATATGCCCTCTTAACAACTTATATATGTACCATAAGCATGGCCCATCATGTTTGTGTCTCTCAATCCAATTGTAACAGCTAAGCAGAGGCACATTAGAATCCAATTGACCTCTGGGATGTAAATTTGACCATATATCGTACTTGAAGTATGAACGATCTTCACACGGGGAAAGCAATTCAATGCACAGCACTGGCTTATCATAGAGAAAGTAGCTGATATAACAGCTTGACTTCCCACCACTGCTGCAAAAGTAGCCACTATGAAGACTGGCCAGAAAACAGCTTCTGCGTTACAGTTAAAAAATAGTATTAATTTAAAAAGATGGCAAACAGGACAATTTGAGATTAAGGCTGAGTTGAGTTGAGTATAGAGCATAGGATACACAAAATCTATTCTGGTTCTTTGATAAACCCTTACCCGGTATAGCTTTATAGAAACTTCTCTGAATATCTTCATGATGCCTTGAGAGAAATGCAGCTTCACCCATATAAGCAAGAATCAAACAGGGATATACTAGAAATGTGAAAGCAATCTGAAATTTGCAGGTATAGTATTAGACTATTATTTCATCAAGGTTGAAGACAAGACAGAGATATTAATGCTGCATTCTCTTAAATGTTTTTCTTTCTAATTATCAATGTCTGCATTACCTTAATTGAGAGTGGAGAGAAATGGCCCAAGTCAGCAAACATTGTCTCTGCACCTGATAATAATTGAGAAATAAACAAGTTTCAACTTTATTTTGGTGGCAATAAGTATTGTACTGCTAAGACATAAAATATATGCCAAAGAACTACCTGTGATGGAGAGGACCACTCCACCCAATGACACCCAACCTTCAACTCCTGTACTTCGAAGGAACCTGAACATGTAAGATGGAGAAATCGCACGAAATACACCTGGATTCCATCGGACTATGTTGTATATTCCAATGCCACTAATACAGAGAAGCCAAGCTGTGACAATTGGTGCAAACATGAAAGCAACTCTGCGTGTTCCATGATGCTGAAGGGAAAAGAGCCCCACTAAAATGACACATGAGATAATTACAACGTAACCTGGAAAATGAACAAACAGACAAATTATGATCATTTGACAAGAATCAACATGTTAAAATAAAAACTAAGTGCAAGTGGACTTACTCTCGTGAAGTTCAGTAATCTTAATTTTAACACCCGAAACTGCTGATAGAACTGGAACAGAAGTCAGGCAAATCTGCTTTTAGTATACAAGGATTTTATTATGTTATTTAATACAGAACCATGAATCATGAGATGATAAAAAGGGTGCTTATCAAAGGATACTTAATGAAAAGATTCATCTGACATTTATTTTGAACCATAAAACCACATCTTTCACAAGAGTTGACAGCTAAAACTTGGAAAAAAAAAAGATAAAAATAGGCAAATTCAATCTCCACTGACTAAAAATACATCCTTTGTAGTTCTGTAGTGCCATAGGCAAACACAAATCCAAGTTCCATATTATGCAACTTTTGAGATTTGAAGGGACTAAAACCACAAGAGACAAAGTTCTCATCACTGCACCCAAACAACTCTAAATAGCTCACTTGACCTCTACAAAGTCCGCCCTTGCTGAATAACCTGGTATTTCTACCAGCACCAACTACCATTATGACTGTTCTAAAAGAAGGGTGATTACCCAATTATGGTCCCAGATATCTGATATTCTGATGTCTTGGGAGGAGCAGATTGAATAAACAGCTAAACTTCAGTATTTTTTTATTTAATAAATTGGCCACTCTCAAGACCTGAACCTGCATTCTCACTCTTGTCAGCCCAAGATTTTACAATTACACCAAGCAATGGCCCCTATGATCATTTTACAATCACTCTTACTAAGATCACATTTATCTCTCATCAATTCCACAACCATGCAGTTTCAACAGTCAACCTATACGTGCTATATTTCTACAAAAGAATTGACCAAAACAAGTTTATTTTTATTCCTACAGAAACATATACATATAACTTGGCCGTTTCAGCTTTTAAATCCTTTTTAGGACCCATTTTCCACTTCTATTAAATCCAACTGCAACTATATTTCAAAGAGTCAACCACCCCAGCCACCAAAAAATGAAACAACGAAATGATAAGTAGCAAATTTTGACATTTATTGCAATAAGGAATTTCAGAGTAAATCAATCTCTCACCTGAAATTGCTGGTGTAAGTATCCCATCACCAATTGCCATACAGGTTCCCAGTAGCACAAATATCAATAGCCCATTACGGGATTTTGGATACTTCTCAAAAAATAACTTCAGCTTAGCACTATGCCTTGTGTCCTCTGATGCTCCCTTCTGATATGTGGACAACTTCTCATCCACCGCTTGTTGATTGGGGAGAATGCTTAGCCTTGCATGCCTGCAGAGTAATGAGTACAGTGCAAAGGTGCCACCTGCACTATAAGCAAATAATTCACATRGAGGGTTTTAGTTTCCACCCACTTTTCAAGTCTGAAATAGTTAGATTTAAACTCATTAATGTTTCCCACACAATTTTCCCTCTTTGTGCACTGACAAATACCCAATTTGAAGGTGATAAAAGATCATTTTGGCAATTGTCTGGGAACCAAGGCTACTATAGTCTTATCATTCACCATTAATGGCAGAATTCATCTCAACAAGGAACACTACTTTGCTTGTTTTTCTTTTCTTTTTTATTTTTCTCATTTTTTGGATAGGTTGGAGAGTGGGAGGGAATTAAGCTGTGACATCAATGTCAAGTTACAAATAACATATTGGAGCCACCAGTTCAACATACTTACACATCTTAGATGAGCAATACATTGTACATACAACCAGGGAAGGACAATCGTACCTTCACCGTTGTCATCAGCCGACATCACAATGAAGATATACTTGAAGAGAGGGATGAGAGTGAATGTCCAGAAAATAAAGGAAAGCACCCCATACACCTCCTCATCATTCTCACGGAGGCTCAACTTCCCAGAGAAGGTGGTCTTGTAAACATAGAGAGGGGAGGTACTCAGATCACCATAAACTACTCCAAGACTCTGATAAGCCAAGGTGAGTATGGCCTTTGTGGAAAACCTCCTCGAGTTCTGGTTCAAGACACCACACCAAGTCTTCTTAACAGAGAGAACAAAAAATGAAGACACTTTTTTCATAAAATGAAAAAGGCACCTGTTGTACTGAAAAGAAACATGTAGAATAGTGGATATAAATTTGTTTTATTTCTTTGGTAAATATAACTATATAAGCATGCACCATCGGAACCCTATAAATTACTACGGAAACATTAAAAAATATTCTATTTAAGTATTTCGTGCAAACCAAGATCAACAAAAATGACAGAGCTCTGTAACTCGGTCCATCATTTAAGCAGAACCCTATAACGTTCTCCTAAGTTCAAACGGTTCAGAAGTATTGTACTTAATACGTTTCATTAGAACTCATTTTTATCAACACTACGCTTTTCTTCATACCTTTCATATGCGAGAAGCCAAGAATTGTAGAAAGTAGAACAAAATGGGACTTTTCACCATAGGCAATCCTTCCATATGTCTCAGTATGCACATTGTATTTACATATCTTTCATCCAAGCTCCAGTCATCTTAATGGAGGAGCATTTGCAATTTGCAATTTAAAATCCCAGATTTAAGAATCCAAAAGTTCGAGACAGAGAAACAAAATGCAAATTGAAACAGAGAAAAGGGAGAACCATTTGTAAGACTCCCACGGATCCAACTTACAAAGGCAAATAAAAATAAGAAATTCATAGCAACTATAATAATCCCAACAACTTCACAAAGAAGAAAACTTGAACAAGAAAAGAAAACCAACGATTCAGGTTCTGCTAAAGTGACAACTGTAAAAAGGGAGCAGGAAAGATACCTGTTGAAAGGACCCTTGCTCTAGTGTCTCCATTGATGGGGCGAGATTGATAACTGAGAAAGGACCCAAAAAAGAAAAAACAGAGGGTTCAGATTCTAAAGCAGAATCAAGGTCATGGTTCAATTTAAACTGCTGGAACTCGGTAGAGATTGTAGAAGCGGGCAGTAAGTAGTAAGCAGGTAAGTGTGTTCAAAGAGGTTATGAAATGCATTTAATGCCCCCCTCTCCGGTGGGATGTCAAAAAGGGAGGGAGTTCTACTTCTAGGTGGCAAGTTAGATAGACGATATCTGAATGAACTGAACCGAACAAACCCATTTCATTAGATGAAAACAATGTAGATTTTATATCATGCACCCGATGAAATGCATCCTCAATGGACCTTATCCCTCGATCTATTAATGTAGCCCACCATCTCCTCGATTGATGCCGTTCAATCAGTGGACCAATCTTGGAATGTGACACAACCAGACTGGCTTTCAGGGCCTCGACTTTAATGGACTGTCCAAACAAGAAAATAGTGGACAAAAATAAAGATTAGAATTAAATAAAAAAAGGAAAAAGACAGACAACAGTTAATAAGTTATCTGATTTAGAGCTATGCCCTAATAAAGTGGCAACCCTGCAGTTAATAATGAGCTTAAAAGTTGAAATGGGACTAGAATCTATTGTGGATGATGGACCTGAGTCACCAGACCATGACGATATTCATTAATAAGAGGGCCACGGCATTAAGCAAAAGGCCAAATGAAAAGGGACAAGATTTTTCCAAATATTTATTCTTTGTTAGCTTAGAGGCGCCCTGTTTTCAACCACAAAATTAGACTAGAAAAAAAAATGTGTGCATTGAATTTGTGCTCAATAGGTCTATTGATGAATTGTTTCGGTTCTTTCAAATCATAAATTCATAATCATGTTCATTCAAATGAGTTCATTTTTGCTGGAACGTGGTTTTATTCTTGGGCTAAATCCCCTTTCATGTATTATTACTTTGGTTCCATCTAGAGTTTATATTTGAGTTATGTTGTAAGCAATTTTTATAGAATCTTTCATTCAATTTTGATTTCAGAAAATTTGGTTCCTTTTAAAATTCTCTTTCACCTTCTTTAGACAACAGGGATATCCAGTCCTTGTTGGACTTCAGAAAATTTGGTTCCTTTTAAAATTTTGATTTCCATATTGTTCAATTCCTGCATGACAGAATTGAAACTGTATCTTGCACATGCGAACGCACATGAACTTGACCCAGAACACCTTGCCACATTTGCAAACTAAAGCCACTTTTGTAGATAAGTGTCATATTAAAATACAAAAACTTAAATAAGATAATATTATTTCTAGAAAACATCAATACAAGGTGGGGCGCATATGATTGTAGGATTGTGGTTGTGGACAACTTAGGGGGCACTCCACTACATGAACATTTTTGTTTTCATTTGTTTTTTTAGATTGCCACATCAGCTAAAAAACAGAAGACAGGTTTCTGAACTGAACTGTTTTTTTATTTGAAAAGAAAAAACAAATTGGTTTTCTTTCAAAAATACATATACATTTTGTGTATGTATATGTTTTTGTTTTAACAATCATTTATTTTTAACCAAAAATTTTATTTTCGGGTATACAGGTTGGCCAACTCGTTTCTATGACATGGCAGCCTTAAGAGATCATTCTCTCAAAAATGTTATTTTCAGATATACAAGGTTGACTTGACCCATTTATAGCACGTGGTAGACTCAAGAGAATTTGTTCTCTCAAAAGTTGTTTTTTTGAATACATGCATTGACCCGACCCGTTTCTGTATTTATATGTTAGGGTAGGTGGATTAGTATGGGTAAGGGGTGGATCAAGTGGGTCAATATGGGTGAATTAAGGTGACCTAGGATTATAGTAGGTTATGATCATTTAAGAAGTATTGATAATGGATCATGATGGGTTGGTGGGTCAATATGAGTAGATTGTTATTCAACCCTTACCCAACCCATGCACCCATTTGCCATCCCTATTGTAGCATCCCTGTCAAAAATAGGTGGATTAGTGTAGGAAAACTACCAAGCTGACCGGATCATTGAACCCCGTTTGTCAAATACCTACTACTAATTGATAAGACTATGGGTCCACAGACATCGGATCTAATCATGATCCAGTATATGGATTTGAATCCCTGTAAGGACCTAGGTCCAATTACAGTCTATGCATTGACCAGTTTTCATTAAACTGGGAAAAATACGGATACATCCGATGCAGAACTCTGAATTCCAGCCCTCTTCTCCCCTATAAACCACATCTTACCCTTGAATTTAGCATCAATTCATGGTCAGGATGCATTCCCCTATACTATGAGGTTATAAAATTTTGATCTAAACTGATTAGTCATTCTCCCAAAAAACAAAGCAAGTGAATTATTTTTTTTTTTCCTTCTAATTTTTTGTATTATTGCAATTGATGCAATAATGTTCCGCTTTTAGTGTATTACAAATTATTTGGTAAGTTGATCCATATCTATATTCGAAGCTCAAAAGACTCGGAACCAATGCATACAATAAGGTCCAGCTTTGTATATGCATATGGAGTACTTATGGGCCTAACTTCTTAACAACCTTTCCATTCAAATCCTTTGTTCAATTATTTTCTTATTACATACGTTATAATGATGTAGAATATGAAGGACCATGACTAGGACACATATCCCATTTCATGGTCAATGGGACAGATCACCCAAGTGTAAAAATAAAGAAAGAAATCCTTCATACAACGACAAGAATCCATAAAATAGAGGTCTTTTGGTCTTCAGGTCATCTACTGTTTGACTAATAATTAGGTCTGCCCCAATTGATTCCCCATTTAAGATTGCTCTATGTCTGTCAATGTCCTCTATTCAGAATGGTTTGAATTTTGAAATCTAAGCCTAAATTTCTTGAGATGTTGGATATGGTAATCGATTAAATTCTGGATGCATTTATATCAGCCAAAATTTCAGACATTTCTTCGAGGTTTCCTCCTTTTGTTTCATCGCTAATTTAGGGTCCAAAATGGCCGACATCTCTGATACTTGAAATCCTAAACATGCCAAGGGTGTCAATATGGGTTTTTGGATTTACTGTGGGGTTTCTTAAAATTGGCAGTTTCTTGTAGACAAAATACTAAAATCTAATCAAAGCTTGAAAGCATTCAAACAAAGGAGGAATTTTGACTGTATACTTGTGACCTTGTTGTGTGCTTATCGGCAAACCAACACTATTGTAGATATGGGCTGAAATAACAAAATCAAAATCTTTGATTTATTGATATGGCCCCATCTTAAATTAAATGAAATAACATGTAGGAGTGRCAACGGGGCGGGTCTGGGGTGGGATCATATTTCCTGTTTCCGCTTTCAATTCTGAAATTAATTTTCATTCTCATCTCCAATTCCCGTCAGAAATAAAATTTGTTCTCTATCCCTAGTCTCTGATGGGGATGGGTTCCTCGTGGAGATTTGAGTCTCCGAAATTTTTTTAGATAGTAGTATTTTCTTTAAAAAATAAATTTATTTAAAATAAATAAAAAATTTAAATTAAAAATAGTGTTTTAAATATATTTTAATATATATATATAATATAAATTTAATATAAATAACATTTAAATATATATAAATATATAATCGGGGTTGGGGCAGGGTGGGGACCTCAATCCCCATCCCCAACCCTGACCCCAATCAAGGATTCCTATTAATCCCCGTTGCCATCCCCGCCCTGCTAAAATAATCCCCATCAGGTCGGGGAAATCGAATCCCCGTCAGGCATGGAGAAAATTACCATCCCTAATAACATCTTAATAGGTTCATGGCAATAAATCAAAGGCTGTAATTTTTTGGTTTTACCCTTCACTACAATACTGTCGTAGCAAAAGTGAAATTCAATTATTGAATACTTGGCAATTTGGATACGTTTGTTTCAAGGTAAACGGGGGTGGATAAATTAGTGGATCCCATGGAAAAGAAAGAAATATGCATTCCTGTTTTGTTATTAATGGGTCTCATGGAAAATAACAACTCCTAAGCAGCTCATTTACCTTGGTAAATAATACTTTTCTAAGACTTGGGTAAATCATTTTCGATCCTTGCAAAAAATTACTAACATGTGATGGGATAATATTATCCCTTCAATATTAAAGACATTTTTATGGATAAAACGGTCATTCTATAATTGTACCTGGAAAACAAAAGAACAATGGTAAATGTATACATTTATCACATGAAACAATTGTCCAAATAAACTCATTTGCCGGAATAAATAATATATGGTTTAACAAACAAAGCCTTAGGATCCGAATCCAGATTGTCTTGAAACAAAACTATACACAGCATGTTGGGCAACCTATCATAAAACAACGGTGTGTTCATTTAGGCAATCTATGTGTGCAAAACAATGAGTTTGTCTCCAGCCCATCTCGTTTCCTTGAATCTCCTCAAGAACAAATCAAGTGTTTGTGGGTATATTTGGAAAAGGACTTTTGATTCCTTACGATTTGGACAGAGTAGTACTGACAGGTAGAAGTTGTTGAGATGAGAAGTTCCAATCCAATTGGAAATGGCATGCCTACAGGCTACAGCCAACCCTGTAGATAAACAGCCATTCCTTGGGAGTAAAATGGGCAGGAATAGAACCCTATGAATCCATTACTCATTGGCTTTAGAATTGAGAAAACAGATAAACATTTGTTCATCAAAATTTTGAAGCCAATAAGCAGCGAACACGTTGGGGCAGGAATAGAACCCTATGAATCCATTACTCATTGGCTTAATTTTGAAGCCAAAAAGGGAGTTTCCCCGACCCATGGAGAGACTCGACTCCATTACGCTAAACAACTCATTTCATTATCATGTATCAATTTTCAAACCCAACCTCTGGACTAGTCGTCAGATACCTATATCGAGCAACATAATTGCAAGTACAACTCTTGCCTTTGTGATTGACGTGTGACACTCGTAACTGTGTCAGATGAATTATTAGAAACCATATAAAATATAGAAATCTCTTTCTTGGAATATAAAACAAAAATATGCACATATGGGCATCTTGGAAAATGTAATTGAAGCATTTGGTTGCATTTGAGAGCAGATTTCACATAAGGCCTTTCTCAAGGGTGTAAATGCCGGTTAAGTGCATATATATACATTCTGGTTCAGTATATTGATAATCACAGAAAATATCATTTCTAAGCCATGTTTGCATTTAAAATAGAGGGAATTTTACATAAATAAATAAAAAAAATATGTACATTTGCATTCAAAATTGAACAAATGTTAAAAAGGTATTTTAATCTCAGGATTCTTATTTGTATTTATTACAACTAAAAATAGTTTGACAACAAAGTAAATTTATTAACGCAAAACAACTTTATATTTTTATGGACTAGTATGCACTCTACATATTTCCATCTGCACTCTATTTGCACTCTTCCGCCTTAGATAAAGCTTAAAGCTATATCTCTTTGTTA